CGCGTCGATGAGCGGTTTCGAAAAAAACTACGGTGCTGTAGGATCAGTTTGATGAATTGACCACTTTTACGGATATTCCGGACATTCCGCTGGACCATATTTCGGTCACAACTTCGAATTAATTCTGATCAGACGTATATGAGAGGTTTCGACAAAACCGCAGAGCCCTAGGATCAGTTTCATGGTGGACCATCCCGTAGTCCCCAGCGTCCATTTTCTGGTCACAACTCCGATTCATTCTGATAAGACGTCTATGAGTGGATTCGAAAAAAACACGGAGTTCTAGGATTAGTTTCATGAATTTATCACTTATGGTCCGGATAGTTGGATGGACCATCCCGTGGTTCCCAGAGTTCATTTTCTGGTCACAGCACCAAATTCATTCAAGCTCTAGGATCAGTTTCATGAATTGACCAGTTTTATGGATGTTCCCGATCATCCACAGGACCAGACTTGCGACCATCGGAAATTGACTATTCCCAAAAGGTGGTCAACTATCTGCTTAACAACTTCTCCAAAGACATCAAAGACATCAGACATCAAAGTTATCTCTTCAAATTGCCGTACAATCAGTGTTTGGTCTCAATTAGCTCAAATCCCATATGGTACGTGTATTCGATAATGCCGGATCGACCGTACTATAGGAACCCAGTGGCAACCGTACTATACTGCCGCTCTTCGCATGTCCGTCCCATAGCGAAAATCAGCAAGCCGAGAAAATAGCGTTTTAAGTTTGCTTCGTACCATTGCTCCTTATGTGATGGGACAACCAATTTGACTGTCTTTCCAAACTTTTTTAGAACAAACTTGTTGAGTTCATCCAGTGTTATGAAAATATGTGTAATTAACTACCATTTGCATTGAAAAATTCAGTTTTGACAAAAACGACTATCGACTATGGGACCGACATGCGAAGAGCGGCAGTAAAGGAATCCGGCAAGAACGAATCCGTACTATAGGAATCTTGGCAGTATGTAAACACCCCATAACTATAGTCGCTATATTTATAGTCTGGCGGATAGAATTTCGATCTAACAAAAAGCGGAACCAATTCAATATATTGTAGACCAACAATCGAAAAGGTACTGTCAAATTTTATCAACAAAAAGGTTGATTATTCTTTCCTCGCCAATCGAGCGCAAATTACCAGCAACATCGGATAGGGGAAACTGTTCCCAACCCAAAGATGGTGTTAGTTTGCGTAGCCAAGCCTTGAGTCACGTGAAAAAGGTTTCCGAAGTTTTGTTCGCAATAGCTGATGTGCTCTTTTCTGTTCTTGATCGTGATTTGCTCGATTGGTTCCGCTATTTGACAGGTCGGACAGGACGGTTGTTTTGTAATCAGATGATGCTCCTCTCGAATACAGGATGAACATTGACACGACAAGCGAATGGACATTAGTTGAAATATGTAATGCTCTCTGTAGAACGCAAGCGAAAAAGATTCGATCCACAATATTTGATTTCACAGGATCGTATCTGCAGTTCCGAGCGAAGTGAAATTTCACTTCGTTTTGATCTCTAAAGGGTGATACGGTCAAAATTTGGTCAATATCAACTTGACGTATTTCTTTCAATTTTGCATTTAAAAAACCTAAACACCCCTCATTTTGAAGGTGTGTGTGTGTAGAATGTTGCTCCTATTTTGATTTTGGAATTCACTCTTCAGTTGTCAAAATGCCGTCCAAGCAAGAAGAGCAGCGTATCAAAATTTTGCTCGCGCATCGCGAAAATCCGAGCTACTCGCACGCAAAGTTGGCAAAATCGCTAAAAGTTGCCAAATCAACCGTTACAAATGTAATTAAAGTGTTTGGGGAACGTTTGTCGACAGCCAGGAAGTCTGGATCGGGGGGAAATCGAAAACCGGAAGCCGCTGAGACGACAAAGAGAGTTGCCGGTAGTTTCAAGCGAAACCCTAACCTCTCTCTCCGAGATGCCGCAAATAAGCTGGGTGTATCGTCTACAACCGTGCATCGAGCCAAAAAACGAGCCGGACTGTCGACTTACAAGAAGGTAGTGACTCCAAATCGCGATGATAAACAAAATACGACGGCCAAAGCGCGATCCCGGAGGCTGTACACGACGATGCTGACGAAGTTTGACTGCGTGGTAATGGACGACGAAACCTACGTCAAAGCCGACTACAAGCAGCTTCCGGGACAAGAGTTTTATACGGCAAAAGGAAGGGGAAAGGTAGCAGATGTTTTCAAGCACATGAAACTGTCGAAGTTCGCAAAGAAATATCTGGTTTGGCAAGCCATCTGTACCTGTGGCTTGAAAAGCAGTATTTTCATAGCTTCCGGGACTGTCAACCAAGAAATTTACGTGAAAGAGTGTTTGAATAAACGTCTGCTGCCTTTCCTGAAGAAACACGGTTGTTCCGTACTGTTTTGGCCGGATTTGGCATCTTGCCATTACGGTAAAAAGGCCATGGAGTGGTACGCCGCCAACAACGTGCAGGTGGTTCCCAAGGACAAGAACCCTCCCAACACGCCAGAGCTCCGCCCAATTGAGAAATACTGGGCTATTGTCAAGCGGAACCTAAAGAAGACCAAAAAAACTGCTAAGGGCGAGCAGCAGTTCAAGGCAAACTGGCTTTCTGCGGCGAAGAAGGTGGACAAGGTGGCTGTACAAAATCTGATGGCAGGGGTCAAGCGTAAGGCCCGGCAATTCGGATTTGGAAAAGCGGAAGCCTAACTGAATATTTTTCCTGAATTTTATACTAATTGAACTTGAAAAAGAAATTTAATTTGATTTTTTAAATAAACGATTTCACCGATTTACACGCGTTTTCCCTTGACCAAATTTTGACCGTATCACCCTTTATACAGGCTTTAAGCAGGCGAACGTAAATAAGAAAACGATCTTCAGCAGAATAATTCGGCGATGAATGAGTATAGGGGAAAGTGGGGCAGTTTGGCCACCTTAAGAAAATCATCACTAATCATACAGCATTCAGTGGAAAATTCGAATGATGTTTATAACCAAATGGATAGTTTCAAGCTCTATTTACATCATGAATACAAATAGAATATTAAAACTTAACTTTTGAATCTTATGCACGAAAATTTAAAAAAACATCGTTTTGTAACCAAAATTAAACCGTTGGGCAAGTTATAATCAATTCTGCCTTGTGCCGCAACACATCGTGGCACACTGATCGGCGCGTCATGGTACACGACAAGTATGACACAAAATATAATATAAAATGGCATCCCTGTTTTGTGTTGACATTTTGCCAATCGTTGCTAAGGTTTACTTCTTCGTTTTTTTTTGTTAGTGCCATTTTACAGCGAAATTGTCCCCAATCATAATCATAATCAAACCGATATCACTTTACGGTGAAGTGACAACTTGTCACTCACGGTTATGTGATTCCCATTTGATTTACACGGCAATCACTTCACCGTGAGTGACAATTGGACAATTGAATCGCGGTCTTAATGAACGCAATCGGAACCGGCGGCAGTTTCAGGGAGATTAATATGCGATTCCGGCATGACCAAGGATAAAAAATTTGAAGGAACAGGCAGATACAAGGAGGAGGTAATCATCAAACGACTGCAACCAGTATCGAGATTCTGAACCGACATTTGGATAAACCATGGACGAAGTACTCCTGCCGGTGGGCATTTTAAGTCGAGTCCAACCTATTTTTTGTTGTAGCATTGCCCGAGTAGCATGACGATATTGCATACAAGATTCACGTTTCACTTGTCGGTTGGGTACTTGGTTTTGGCAAACGTCTGCCAGAATGACGCACGGTAGAGAACTGTCTTCTCCTGGATGGATAGCTTCTGCCATCAGTCACCCTTCTCCTTTTAATTAAGTGTATTTTTCAACCGATTCGAGTATGCATATGTCATTACATCTGGTTTTGAAATTTAGTGCACAGGTAAAAAGTGAGATTACGGGACGCCACTGGTGAACACACAATCTTAAAAGTCATAAGTGCAGGGTTGCCAAACTCATGGGTTACTGAGACTGATACCTTGACTGCCACACTTCGGCACGTTCAGCACAACGCTTGACCTAGCTTTCAGCACAAATTGGGATGTGCAGAGTTGAATACCCCTTGCCGTTGGGGTAAAATGAGCACGCAGTTGGGAAGGTATGAGCAACCTTGTAAACAACGGGTAAGAATATTATGTTTTCTTGAGACTTTATGAAGCGTCAACAATGAACAGTTTTAGCATGAAAAGATATTTAACAGAAAACATTATTTTCTGCAGAATAAATTAAATTTCAGAAGTACTTACTATATTTTTTCGGTATTGTACGACTGATTTTTTACCAAAGGAGCTGTTTTAAAGCGTGATTTCATATGATACAGTCATATTTGTGAAATGAATAATGCATAATTGGAAAATGTGTTGAAATATCAGTGGTGCCCCGAATGGACTTAAGTAATATTTTGTTAAGAAAATCTTTGATGTTTATTAAAATCTAGAAAAAACATCGTGTCAGATAAGAAACCAATGACCACTTATAAGGCTGCTGAAGGAATATCAACGATAAGTTATACGAAACTACTGATAGACCTTATTTTCCGATTCAGCTAGTCTAACATTTTTCGAATATTTGCTCTAGAGAAAAGTATTTTGTTAGACTTAAATGAAATGGATAGTTGAAGTTGGCTGCAAGCATTAAGCCTGCAACAGATTTATTGTAAAATAAGTTCAATAAGCTGGCTTTTATGCGGGTGGCCACATTGCCCCACTTTCCCCTAACCGTAATTTAACTTTGGTGATCGACCAAGTTGATAAGACAAAGTTAGCTGCAATATTTTGTTTTCATCGTTTACTACCCATAATCGCATATCAATCCCATCTTTGCTTGATTTCCTATTTATATGGGACTGATATGCGATTATGGGCAGTTAATTACATATACGACAAAAATAAGATCCATATGTTGGAGTAGCGCAGAACCCTACCTAGTTTGCTTCCATTTGTACAGAGATTAATTTAGATCAAGCCGAAAATAGGTAGCTAAACTCACCTTGTTGTGATGGTTTTCTTGAGCAATGGAAGCAGGCTGGTAGTCCCGTTCGGCTTCGTTGGAGCCATTTTCATTTCCTAGTGGCAGCCAGATTGCAACGTTCGCTCCAAAATGCCAACCGGTGCGCAAGGAATTCCTTCCTGCTTGCCTTGTTTTCCACTTCAATTAGCACCGATGTCAGATCGCTACCGTATGTTTCAGTTACCCACACACACACGCTGACCGTGCAGTATGACGTGTTTGTAGGTTTAAAACAAATACACTCGCACACGCCCACACTAACGGTTCAATGCATTAACGGTTTTTTGTTGTTATTTTCTTCGTTTCATAAGTTGATCTTTGGAACTATTTTTCACAATTCACAATTCAACAGAAATAGATACTAATTGAGCACAAGCAACTGTAAGTTGATCCTTACCAGGTAATACATCCACTGCCACACTTTTTCAGACGCGACTAGCAAGACAATATTGCAGTTTATGATTCTGTCAGTCAGTTGTCGTTAGCAAATGTGGCTTGTTTTTGACAATCGTTGGTCACTATGATCAGACATGAAGAATCTCTGTAGGTATCCGGCGTATTTCTTTTTTCTATAGGTAGTTAGATAAAGCACCGACCCGATTGCGCTTGTGCTCTGAAACAATAAAACAAACGTCAACTATTAATGAACACTCCACACACGGATTTGAACTTCTTATCAATCTAACCTTCGATGACTTATGATAACATACACACGCACACATAAAAGTAACAAAACAATGGATAACAACAAAACAAGATCAACAACACAGCTATCCAGTTAAAGGAATTGGTTTCAACAAAACCAAGCTCCCGACTACCATCGTGGTCCGTCGCTGGTGAAATCTAGGTACTCTACTGGTTGGAAAAGACCTCCGGAGCAAGACTCGCGCGTTTTTCGAGAAAAGTGCTTTCTCACTATTCGTGTGAGTGCGAGAGAGAACGGGTGCACAGAACACCAGGAAGAAAAACACTGTCCTATTCGTACATCTGGCAAATCCCAAGACACAGACCCCATAGGCGAAGTAAATAACCGAAAAATGTACCTATACATGTATGTATTAAACGAAGAAGGATCCGAACAAGCTTCTTATTACTCCGTGTGTTTTGTGCCCTTCTGTCTTGTTCCTTGATGATCCTTTTTCATTATTTTTTTCACTCCTGGATCTTGATTCATACGCTGTATATTATCGGATATAGGGCTGCATGCAAGAACTTGTTACGCGCCAATCGAAGGGTGTGTGCGCAACATAAACCACTCCTGGGGGATCGACAACCACGGGCAAGCCGGCTGTTGGAAGTTCTAGCTCTGATATGTGGCGTTCAACCATCTCTAGCAGAAGGCAAGCAACAGACGAAGTGTCATTGGAATGAATAGCATAGAAACCAGATGATGACGATGACTTCTGAGAAAAGCGATGGTGATGATGATGACGACTGAGGTAGGCCTGGATTGATGGGATAGAACGAGTACGTGTGCGGGAGACGACCACGTTTACGGAACGAGCCTCTATTGTTATGGGATAGGGGGTTTGCCTTTTAAACAGTGTGCGCATTGAAAATGCACTCACGGATACTGTGGTTGATTAGATGGAAACGTTTTATAAAAAAATATCGGTGGGACAGTTCACTTAACACGACAGATGGCAGACCGGGTCTGACTGACCGTAGACCGTGGCGTATACTTAGGGAGCACGCCACTTTTTGATCCACCAATAATAATCATTTTACACCCACCACAAATTTATGAAGCGAAGTAATTATTTTATAGATTGCTGAAATGTTCTTATTGAAAATGATGGCCGTAAACTGCCGATATTCGCATATCAGTCCCATATGGAAAATCGTCATATTTGGAAATTCTTTGGAAGATATTTGTATAAGTTGTTGTTTTTCAGCTATTCATAAAACCTAGTAGTAATGACCAAAATAGTTTCGTTGCAAAATTAGTTTATCGTAATACAGTGCAGTTTTTTTTTTGAAGGATACGTAGAATACAATTAGGTGAGACTCATATGTGAGTACATTTTGAGACGAGGGCAAAAGTACACTCGCATACCAGGCCCACTACTCAATATCGGTTGTTTAATTATGTTGAACGTAATACCAACCGGTGGAAACTAACGATTTCAAATTGGCTCACTACTTATGACTAGCCTATTGGTCCCGAGCAAATCGATCAACGTACCCCCATTCTAGTCGAAATACAAGTACTAGGGGAAATGTATGTAATGTCGGCCTAAGTGTCCCTAATATGGGCCCATACATAAATTCAGCAATCGACTAAATTTTCAATAGCAACCAAAAATATCCATTAGTACCGTCCCAATGACGCGTTCATCTAGATACAATTGATAAATAGCAGATTTTTAGCGATGGGCCCAATCATAGATCCATAGGCAAACATTAGAGCAATTTCCCCTACTATGTTTGTTTTGATTCGCTATAAAAGCTTGGCAGATAAAGTGAGGGATTCGTGGATTTTCCTATGTTTCGAGGGGTGCATCGATTAGCTTGGGACCGAAGACAGTACCAGAGCTGAGCCAGAAGTTAAGCACGTTTCTTCAGGACCTTCTGGTCGTAGAGTTACCTCTATGGTTATACTAACTTGATCTAGTACAACGATTGTAATAAATACTAATTGAATCTAGAACTTAAAACGAGGTATTACCAACCGGTGGAAGTTAACGATTTAAAATTGGCTCACTACTTGACTAGCCCATTGGTCCCAAGCAAATCGATTAACGTACCCCATTCTAGTCGAAATTATAGTACTACACTATGTTTGTTTTGATTCGCTATGAAAGTTTGACAGATAAAATGAGGGGTTCGATGATTTTCCAATGTTTCGAGGGGTGCATCGATTAGCTTGGGACCGAAGATAGTACTAGAGCTGAGCCAAAAAGTTGAGCACGTTTCTTCGGGACCTGCTGGTCTTAGAGTTACCTCTATGGTATTACTGGTGAAACTCGGTTAAATACTCACTGCAGTCCGCCTATTGCACCGTTGATTGCATAGTTTGTCCGACGTAGTGAAATTTCTCAGCATAACATTGTTACGAAGCATTCATTGTCACGAGGCAATTCAGCCATGTAACGTGTCCGCGACAAGCAGGGCACGAAGATGATCCAAGTGATTGAGCTTTCAGCGTTTTTCATAGCTGGACAAATGAAACTGGTCTCTCTAAGTTAACATTCTCAACGCGTATCGCAGAAAGCGGCGTTGAACGGACTCGACTCTCTCAGTAACATTGTTGTAGTTCGGGCTCCAAACCACAGAACAATATTCTAGAATGGAGCGTACCAGGGAGCAATACAGTGACTTGAGAAATTCTCAACTGTTCTGAAGATAAAGCCCAATGTCCTTGACGACTTGTCTACGACTTTGGAGATGTATGTAAGTTGAGAGGCCTGGTTCTTTGTTTCGAGTAAAGGTTATGACTGAACACTTCGCTGGATTCACCATAATTCGGTCCAAATGGCACCAATGAGGTACAGAGAGAGGTGAAGCAGATCGTGAACTACTGTTGTATTAGTAAACCAAAAAATCAACGTGCACGCAATTCGTGACGTCACTTGCTTGTATCGTACAGGGGTTTTACTCACACAACTTAACCGATTGCTTCACCTCGGTAATCCATTTAATTGAAATGACACCAGCTGTCAAATGCTTCAAACTGACGTTGAAGGATTTTTTTTTTACTTTGATTTGTTTTCCGTCGATCTTGTTTTCCGTACTGAATACCAATGCTACCGATGCCAGGAAGGCAGCTCCCACACATGGACCCTACCTATAAAGAAACGCATCAAATCATGAATCGGGGACCAACGGCTTTACTTTCCATCCGCTCATATCTCGCCGATCGTCACTTAGTGGTAACCTATGGTGACTGCCTGTCCGACATTTTTGCAGCTACGTCAGGAATACCTCAAGGAAGTCATCTGGGACCGTTGATCTTCTTACTATACTGCAATGACGTGAATTTAGTTATCGAAGGTCCACGACTATCGTATGCAAACGATCTCAAAATCTACTCATGGATCCGCTCGATCGATGACTGTCAATTCCTTCAACGTAGTGGTGTAGTGGTACGCGTGATTGCATCTCACCCCAACAGGCCTGGATTCAATCCCAGTCGGGATGTTCTGAGGCATAACATCTCTGATCACGCCTTCCTTCGGAAGAGAAGTAAGGCCGTTGGTTTCCGGTTCATGAGTTGATGGATCGATAGGTGGGGTCCATGTGTGGGAGCTGCCTTCCTGGCATCGGTAGCATTGGTATTCAGTACGGAAAACAAATCAAGGATTTGCTTGTATAGAAGTTGAGTAAACGTTACCTCATATCGTATAGCATTTGAATACAGTTTGAGGCTGTATAAATGCAATGAGCAAAGCGTTTATATTGTGAAAATTATTAGTTGGGTAGTTGATGCAGAATGAACTGGTGACAAGGTGGATAGCAATCTAATTCCAGTATTGTTTTCAAATTCGGAAGGGGCTGAATCAACTGTATCGATAGAAAGCAGCAACGTGAGCTTGTCGCCAAAAGATTTAAAGTTTTCCGACCTTAGTGTCATCCAGCTTCGATACACGAAGACTATATAGCAGGGAATCAACGGAACAAGACTTCGATACTCAATTCAACTGGTGTAAAGGGTGATACGGTCAAAATTTGGTCAAGGGAAAACGCGTGTAAATCGGTGAAATCGTTTATTTAAAAAATCAAATTAAATTTCTTTTTCAAGTTCAATCAGTATAAAATTCAGGAAAAATATTCAGTTAGGCTTCCGCTTTTCCAAATCCGAATTGCCGGGCCTTACGCTTGACCCCTGCCATCAGATTTTGTACAGCCACCTTGTCCACCTTCTTCGCCGCAGAAAGCCAGTTTGCCTTGAACTGCTCCTCGCCCTTAGCAGTTTTTTGGTCTTCTTTAGATTCCGCTTGACAATAGCCCAGTATTTCTCAATTGGGCGGAGCTCTGGCGTGTTGGGAGGGTTCTTGTCCTTGGGAACCACCTGCACGTTGTTGGCGGCGTACCACTCCATGGCCTTTTTACCGTAATGGCAAGATGCCAAATCCGGCCAAAACAGTACGGAACAACCGTGTTTCTTCAGGAAAGGCAGCAGACGTTTATTCAAACACTCTTTCACGTAAATTTCTTGGTTGACAGTCCCGGAAGCTATGAAAATGCTGCTTTTCAAGCCACAGGTACAGATGGCTTGCCAAACCAGATATTTCTTTGCGAACTTTGACAGTTTCATGTGCTTGAAAACATCTGCTACCTTTCCCCTTCCTTTTGCCGTATAAAACTCCTGTCCCGGAAGCTGCTTGTAGTCGGCTTTGACGTAGGTTTCGTCGTCCATTACCACGCAGTCAAACTTCGTCAGCATCGTCGTGTACAGCCTCCGGGATCGCGCTTTGGCCGTCGTATTTTGTTTATCATCGTGATTTGGAGTCACTACCTTCTTGTAAGTCGATAGTCCGGCTCGTTTTTTGGCTCGATGCACGGTTGTAGACGATACACCCAGCTTATTTGCGGCATCTCGGAGAGAGAGGTTAGGGTTTCGCTTGAAACTACCGGCAACTCTCTTTGTCGTCTCAGCGGCTTCCGATTTTC